ATGATTCATATCAATGGAAAATTATACCCATTATTAATCCTGTAGAATAATATTTATCATTTTTTTTTTAATTTTAGCTTTAAGAATTTTAATTAGTTCAAGTTTCTGAGTTAACATTAAATTAAATAGATAACAAAAATAGTTTCAATTAAAAAAAAAAAATAAATTAAAAATGATCTTTATAAATAGTGTGTACATACATACATTATACTTAAATATATTTTTATAAGGTTTATTAAATAATAATGAGAAAAACAACTTACAAATAGTGACACATTTATTTTACATCCCTCACACTTTCGACAATATATTTTTATGAATCCTTCAATTTTGATAAAATCAGTAAAACGTAATAGATACTTTTTTTTTAATTGGGTTCAAATTGTATTAATTGATTTTTATCTAAATAATACCTCCAAAAAGTTAAACGTAACTTGCTACTGCACTTGTATTGACTTACAATAACAAAATATAATGTATTTTTAATTATAACCATTATTACCTAATTAAATAATATCATTATATCTAAATTGATTTATGATTTTAAAGCCCAACACAGACTAAATCAGACAGCTTAAATTATTGAAATAACATAGGTACTCAAACAGTCTAAAATACAAAGAAAAAATATAATTTAGTAATTACTTTTATCAAAATTCTTTATTGTTGTAATATTGTAAAATATAAATTTATTTAATAAGTTAATGTTATTGTTTATATTAATAAATCAAATATCTTTGAATAATATTTGTTCCACGCCTTTATTCTTGACTTCTATAGTTGTATTACATAAATAAGAAAAGTTTTAACTTTCTGTGTCTTAAACGTTTTGATATTTTGAAAAGATCTAAATAGGATCTTGTAATACAAGACCTTTGCGTAAAAGTCACTTCTTAATGTTATACACTACCTAGTCGATAGATTAACCGTTTTTATGTTAAAACCTAATATACTTGGTTTTATTTAGAACATGATAAATAATAACACTATTTATTCGTAATTTTAAACGGGCATAATTCTATTAACAAAGCATATATTTAGGACAAATTCTATTGATAGCGTTATTATTTACAATAGAAAAATACGTCTTCAATTTTTAATTTTATAGAGATTAAGAAACATTATCATATCTATGTCATACATAATTTTAAAAAAAAACACAATAAATCACATAAAACCATGTTCAACTATCATGCGACACTTCAAATAAATACATAATACATACAACCTAAATCCATACAACGTACAACATATATTTATCAAACGACAACAAACAATTTACATAGGTACATACTTCAGCCATAAACAATAACACATTTCAAGATCTTTAACCATATATATGGGAACTTAAATTAAACACCAAACTCCTCGACCACAGTAAAAACGAAGAAACAATATCATACCTCTCAGTTTTATAGTATAATTCGACAAGTTTTTTCTAACTATATATACAAAATATATAAAGATGTATCAACATCAGAATATGGGGTAGATCTTTCAAGTGTTAAAAATTACTTTATCATACAGCACAAACTATTAACTATAACCAGTATTTTCTTAGTTGAAGATTACATCACGTACAAAAGGGTATTACTTGTAAATACTCTCAAATCAAATATAAATATACCTTCTAAAACCAGTCACTCTTATAATAATTAATTAACACTCATAAACCTTTCAAAAAAAAAAAAAAAATTTAATTCATTTAGGCACTAACTTGCGTTAATATAACAGGCAATAAAAAAGCAGATAAATTCTTTGATCATGTAATGAAAATAATTTTTAACCCACCAATAAACAAAATTTCTACGAACTCTTTATCTCTATCCTTAAAACAATCCACCGCAATCGCCCAAATCAAAATTGAATACACTCTTATTTAATTAGTAAATAACTTATAATAAAACTTATATTTGAGCAATATATACAAATTTTTGTAGTACAGACTTATCTAAATATACTACCCAACATAGCGAACAATTTTATGAAAGAATAAATTATGAAAAAAATCAAATTCTTTTTTATTACTAACATTAAAAACAAATCATAAATTTAAAAACTTAATATATTCATATATTTTTTTTTAATATCTAATATGTATGTGTAAAACCATTTTAAAATCTATTTGATTTCAGTTAGTAAAATACAAAAACAAATATTTAAACAATGTCTACCAAATCAAAAAAAAAAAAAAAATCAAAAAAAATACGATGTTTAATGAATGATGATTTTACTTCATCAAATGCCTTACTTAACTTTATACTATATAATAAATTAGCAATTACTAAGTACTATTTTTTTCAAATAAATGATACTATTGTCATAAACTTATAAATATTATCTATTTTTATTGCTAGTCATTATTATATTTTTATTATTCATAAACTTTTAGTTTTAAATGTATAATATTAGTATTACCGATAGCAACGTATAAATCCACGTCATTATATTAAGATGCAAGACTTGACCACAAAATCAGCACATCATATTGAGTTTAATAACAAATTTAATTTATCAACTTTATCAGAATTGAAAATTTTCCCGATTGATTGCCTATCGAGTTCTATGGTAATAAATTTTAGCAGTAACTTCATTACAGTTGTTTTATGTATATTTAATTGAATAATTCGTCATCTAAAATACATTAAAAATAAAATGAAAAATTTTATATAAATTACTACATAGTATATAATATATATCAATATATTATTCATAAGCAATAATAAATGTATGATTATATTAATACTATTAATTATTAGGCAAATAATAATTGTAATAACTGTTTCTATTAGTTTCTGTTTTTTTTAAATTGATAAATAATCAACTAAATAAATTATCTATCTGCTTATTTATAAACAAAAAAATCCTTAAAAAAAATATATATTAAATTAAAAGCTCTCCGTACATTTATCCAGTAAACAAATAAAATACTTTAAAATGTTTTTCAAACGCAAATTTCTAAGTGAAAATTTTATTTTTTGATTGTATTTTGGAAATAAATGTGTACTCGAAATTTTAATTTTTTTTTCTGTATTTTTGATATTACGAGTACTATAATTTAAAAGCAACTTTTTGTTTTAATTAATATTCATATTTCCAAGTTCCAACTCTATTAAGTTATAATAGTTTCTTCGTATATATTATCTTGTATATTTACTTTCATCTAATTTATAGCTTTTCTTAATTTCTCGTATACAATTCCATTAAAAAATTTGGTAATTTAATGTGAGTCCGAAACTCAACATCCACACCTTGGGACCTATTAATCCAAATTTTCTAGTAAATCGTGTGAATCTATCACTCATTGTGTATTTATGTCTACATGTTCTTAAATATATAATATATTTATTACACATAAAAATGAGCAAACACACAATCAACACATAATTAACGTTCTACACTTACTTCACATAGCAAAAATGTTCACTTTTAATCACCATGATTCCCGTTCCACAAGCGACAAGGTTGAAGAGAAACACTACAGATAGTTCTGTGATTATATTAACAATAAAATGAAAACACCAAGTTGTTCATTTCGTGATATAAATATAAATAAATCAGCACTTACCGTGTTTAATAGATTTATCTTGAAATGTTGTCTTTCAATTTTTACTTGAAAAATTACAACTTGAACATAAATTGACTCCATGGATGTATCAAACAAAAATAGTTACAAATAAAATATTTTGATGTGATTAATTATTAAAAACTGTAGTACAATTACATGATATAATTATTTTTTATTTAACAATGTTATGTTACATACGATTTTAATAATCTATTTGTAAAATACTCTTTAAGGGTCTAGATTTAACACAGTTTATCATAATTCATAAGTATACATTCAGTATATATAATACAACACAATACTCAAAATATTTTGATGACAAAATGTGAACAAATTTTGTAGCAATTTAGCAACAAGATATCTTTAGAACTAGTTATTATTCCTCAATACATAATGAATACTTAAATTTTCTGTGGTATTTTGGTAATTATCTAATCCTCCTCAAACATCTTCAAACTTTTACAAACGGTTCCAAAATAAATATATATATATATATTTTTTTTTTTTTATTCAAATCCTTTGAATCCAATCTATCTTCTCTTAATCTAATATCACTTACTATCTAAAAAAAAAAAAAATAACCTAACTTCATTCGTTCTCGTTATTCATATACACATATATAAAGGCGAAGTTTATTCCTTATCATTGTTGGAACCGTATAAAATAATGTAATAAATTTAAGCGACTAAATATTTTTTTTGTTTATTCATTTTGTATTTACTTAATAGTTAATGCTATAATAAATTAAAAGCTTCAAATGTAGATATATGATATGTCAAAGAAAAAAAGTACAATATACGTATAACTTGATAATCCCGAATACGATAAAGTTTTTACTGTTTCAAAATATGTTTATACAGTGTATCATGTACATTGTACAATGTGCATATCTATTACATCAAGTGTGTTAATCATAATTAAAATGTTAAAATTAAACTACAATAATATTTACAATTAGAAGCAGAAAAAATATATAATTTAAATGTAACATAATATCATGTAATATTTCTATGAAAAATGTCATGAAATGCATTTTATATTAATTTAGTCGTCCACATAGCATGGTGGAATAAAATGCAAATTTATTGTAAAATATTAAACAGGACGTTTTTCAATAATATTTAAGTATTCTGCTATCATAATATAAATTAATTTTTATAAATAATTATTACTTATTTTAATTAAAATAAAAATAAATATTAGGTATTGAGACACGGGTATCCACTATTCCCTGTCTTAAATAGCTGAATATAGTCAGCTTATAGATAATGTGTTATCAATTTTTTTTCTACCTACAATGTACAGTGCAATATAAATCCATTTTTTGCTTAATGAAAAACAGACTAAATAGAATTAAATTTACTTATACTCTCATACTAATTTCAAAAGCGGTTTACACAATACTATGACGTAATATTAGTTTGTCGGAAAATTATTCACCATTTGTTGATTCTAAACTGTTTTCTTGAGTGCTATTTTTGTCTTTTCGTTTTTCTTTAAGTGCCTTCTTTTTATTTGTCTTGATATATTTTTTAGTGTATATGGATATCGGATGCGATGATTGTGACATTTCTACACCTAGAAAATTATCAAAATAAAATTAACATAATGTATACCAAATCAATTTATCGTATGTCAATATCAATTTAAAGGGTTTTACACCTTTTATTCGTCTCAGCTTTGTATAAAAAAATACGCTTTTAAAAAATGGAGGAACATATTTAGGATATAATTAAAAATATTAAATAAATGTTTGAGAGTATTTCTAAGCTAAAAAAAGTTTATTTAAATAAATCATTAAGTACTATTTAGTATTTATATTTTGTATATTTTTTATAACTATTATAATATTAAAATTTTAAATTTGTTTATTCAGTTAATAATTTACTATCACCAGTAACCACATATTAAATGTTATAAACTTATTGTGAATTATAGTATATAAATATTCAGAGCTTCCATAAAGTATGATTTAAATTTCCAATCCATTTTCTTATTCTCAAATAAGTAATAACCTAAGAATTTGTTGAGCTTGAATGTGTGATAACCACAAAAATCAATCTCTAATTTTAAAGTACAGTAATAAATATTAGTAATTATGTGTTTTATTGAATCTTAATATTCAATTAGATTACCACTGCTCGAGTAACGGTAAGTCATCTTGAAAATATTTTTTGAAGTTACAGCTGTCATATACTTAGGTGTTGTAAAAGTATATAATAATGGATTTACCAATGCATTGATTGGTACAACAAATATAATTAACCATACGTACATTTTACCTACAAAACATACTGTTTTAGTTAAATCAGAATACAATAGCTATTATAAGAATACTTTAATTTATCAATAATGAAAATAATATTATACTTGAAATATGGTATTTTCTTAAAGCTGCCAATTTCAAAATAATTATAGGTGACCAACATAAAATATTCGCCAAAACAATGAAAAAGCAACGAACTGCAAAATCGAAATCACCAGCAGAAACGTGAGCAGCGTGTCTTGTTTTTCTGACATTTATAAACATTAATGCATACAAAACGGACATCAACAATACACTGTAAAATCAATAAAATAGTATTACCTATACGTTTTAACCAAATAAAAAATATAACTAATTGTATTAAATATTTCAATAAATTGGAAGTAAATACAATTTAAAAACTACCTTGTTGTATTTAATCCCAAAAACATGAATGCTGAATATTGCCATCCATTTACAAATGGATCTTCAATATATAAAGGATAACACAAACCGTTAGAACCGTAAAATTTTGACGACTGCTTCCATAAAATCACTAAAATTAATTATAATAATTACATTAAATGTCTATAGGTAAATAAAATTATAAAATATTACATCATACCGAATGATTTACTATGTATTATCACCCAGTTATTTAAAATCATATTTTTAAAATTTAAAAAAATTATATTTTCAAATTTTTGAGATTTTTGTATTCTTGAAGAAGTGTTTTTAAGTATTCACTAAATAATTTACTGTAAAAAAGGATTCTCATTCGAAAAACTGAAATGTTTATCGCCACAAGACTTCTTAAATACAATAAAAAATCTCATGAGTTTCAAAATATAGTCTTTAGGTATAAATAAAAATTCAAGAAAAAAGAATTTGAATAAATGCATTATTAAATCAAAGAATGGAGATGAATACTTAAGCTTGGCGAATCACTCTTTACATATACTTCAAATTTACTAAAAAATGTGACACATTTTATTTGTGTGCGATCAATACATTTTAATGATATAATATCTGATTCTAAAATGATAAATTACAAATAAATACAAAAAGCTTAAAAAACTTTGAAATTGTATGTATTAGTAGTGTATAAAAATAAGTAATAACACCAACCATGTATGTATATATCTTTTAGTTTTGAAGTTAAACGATAACATAGATATATTAAAACAAGCTCCAAAGTTTTGGAATAAATTTCTATGCAAATTCAAATAAAACACCAGTGACGTAGATAGCTGTATATTTACAAATAATTTAAAATCGCGAGAAAATTATTGTAGCTTTATTTGTAAATGAGCTGATAGTAGTATTTTATTTTAAATGTTTAAATTAACAGTTAAAAGTGCTGAAAGTAGAATTTAAAATAATAAGTGGTTCATTTAATTTTTTCGTGGTATAAATAAAATGTGTAAATTTTAAAATGGGTTAATATTATGTATGATATAACCAAAATTATTACTCGAACAAAGTTATACTCGTATGTAGACATAAAATGTTGGATGCTAAATAATAATCTATACCAATATATAGTTCAGATAAATTAATCTTATGACCTCCAAATTTAAATAAAATTAGCCATTAAGAATAGTACATTGATGTCCATTACTAATCGGCAAACAATGATATTAGCCTACCTATTAATTTTATCTTAGACAATGAAACCAGACATAACATAGGCAGTTAATTATGTAAATTTTGTAAGTTATTATTTTTTATCAAGCATTAATCGAATAAATTGGGTTAACAGTTGTTTGTTAATACAAGTATTTTCACTAAACAAATTTAATTATGCTGATTAAAAAGTTACGTCCAAACACATTGATTAATTTCGGGACAATGTGATCTTCAATAAATTCATATACATATATATATATATATATTAGCACAATATTTAACTTTCATCAACAAAAGCGTTATAAACTTTATCAGGTGAATTAAAAACAAAAAATGTATAGTAATATACTGATATGATTGATTAGACTTATTCACAATATAAAAAAGGTAGGCAAGTATGTACTACTCTTCTGTACACTAGATGCCGAGTTGGTAGGTAACTAATCGTATTATGAGTGTGTTAAATTTGAATTAAATTATATATCATTGTATACAAAAAAACGTTTCTGAGCGAAAACGGTCTGTCAACCAATGTCACTAAATATATTTCATATGTTTTTTTTTATATCTATATTGAAGTGTTTTATTTTATTTTTAATAATGTGGTATATTAATATAACTTTTTTCGAAAATATTTGTATTAATTATACAAATTTATTAGTATTTAATTATTATTATAATATATATTTATATCTTATTGTAACAACTCAAAATAAAATTTGTAAATACCATTAAATAGTAAAAATGGATTTATAGTATAAATATAACATATCTTAAAAGTTAAAATAATTCAAAAATATCATTGTGTATAATAAAAAAAATCATTGTAATATAGTACACCTTAAAGTTTTTGATCCCTACGAATAATGTTTTTAAATTATAATAAAATAATTTGTACCGTTATTAATCTCTAAATAATTGATTTCATCCAAATTTAAGCTGAAAATGACTATAGAAAATAATTGCCTTTATCATACGAATAATTTTTAATCGACATTAAAAAAAAATTAAAATGTATCATGCCTATTAATAGCTCAAAAATGGCTGAAGTATTTTTTTAAATTTGTTCGTAGGTACATAGGAAATTATTATATAAATATTTTGTAAGAACTTCAATAACCTACAGTTATTATTTATTTGTTTTCGAGTTACACCAAAAATACGAAATCGATTTTGTCAAAAATTGGAGTTATGAATAATTAAAGTAGGTACCTATAAATTATTATACGCATCAGTTATTTGTTTATTTGCAATCACAAGTCTAAATAATATTATTACTATTAATCATTTTAACTTTTGTCAGTGTATTATTTAATCCATATACTGAAAGTATATTTATGTTTCTTTATTAAAAAAAAAAAAATAATTTTTTGTATAATACTTACATGGTGCGATTGATATACTTATCCCAACCACCCAAATTGATATCATACAGTATACAGCTGTTTTCATTTTCAATACTTGATAACCAGAAAATGGTACAGCTATTAATAAAAATCTGTCCAAACTGAGAAACACCAATATGAGCATAGATACCTATAACCAAAAATATAAAAAAATTATTTCGGAGTGGTTAATGTTCTTATACACTTAGACTATATAGTAAATATATTGTAATCGCATAATTTCAGAATTTAAATTTTTAAGACATATTATAAATTAATATAATAGTTAAGAGAAAGACAAAACAATCAACCTATTAAAAAAACTAAACAACATGTTTAAAGTAACAGAAAAAATTCTTTTCCATGGATGCTTCATAAAAATCAAGAATAATTCAAGTACGTTTTTAAAATAAATTCTTCATTATCAGTATCTAATTTCCTTATGACTTTATAAGTATTAATCTACACACTGTACATACAAATATTAAATATGTTATTCTAAAGGTTTTATTTGTAATTATTAAAAAGATTTTGAATAGTATACTTCTGACGAAATCACAGCCATAATTCCAACCATGGTACACAAATTAGATGACTCCCATTTATGTGCATACAAATGATATTCATTCCGATATATTTGATCATGATAACCAATAAACATTAAATATATCACCATGAACAAATCTGCAACTAAAATATATATGTTTATAAGATACCGGCTATTAAACCAATATATTTGTTTTTACCAGTTAAATTCCGTATGACAAAGTTTATTGCTTTATTTTCATCTTTAAATATATTAAACATCCGACCATATAATACTAATAAGTTAAAAATCAATGTTAGAACTGTTATTGTCCATAGGAACCATCGAAAAGTTGAATTTGGGAGGAGATTAAAACTTGATGATAACCCTTTATTTATTGTACATTTTAAATTCCATGAAACAATATTATATGCATAGGTGATTATTTAAATTATAATTTTTATTAAGTTTCCTAAATAACATTTAATTATTATTGGGTACTTACCATCAACGTTTGGAAAACAAATGTCAACATGTCGGGCATACAAAACACAATAATGGAATTCTTTTAAGTATCTGAAACGAAATCATTAAAATAGTTTTTATTTTAGAGTCAAAACTTTTTAATTTTAAGTTAATTTAACTCACAGAAATTCCAATGCAGTCAAGTTTTTTAATAATGACAGTTCAATATTTTCTTTATTAATGCCATTCATATCTCTAGAAAACATATTTTCTTTATAAAATGCATATTTTATAAAGTCTATAATTTTATTTTAATTCATATAAACATTCTAAATATTCATAATATTAATAATAAATATACTTAGATTATCTTAAATGTTCAAAATTAATAATTTAAAAAAAACCTAACAATTATCTATTATTAATATCTAACTTAATATTTTATCTAAAATAATATTTCAATGAAATGATACAGTTTATTCAAAATTAAATTTGGCAATAATTTATAACACAATTAATACATGGTTATCTAAAACTAAATTATCCCTTCCTCTTTATTTATCTTACAATTACCTACCCAACCACTAAAAAAAAATTCATAAATTATAACATATGAATATTATTATTTTTTCAACGTTGTTTAATGGCCGATTTAAATTCTAATCATGTACATATTTTGTTAATTCCTTATCTTAAATGAGTGAAGCCACCTATTTTTATTTTCAAATAAGATAGATAACACTATTTTTCACTTTATTTGATGGGTATATAATTTTTATTTTTAAAAATAAAATAATTTATAAAGATCAACAATATAAAAAATAAATTAAGTAGTGAATTTAAGCAATTTCAGTAATATAACCAATTTATGCAAAAGTATCAAAGCCCCTTTTTGTTTTAGAGATATCTTTTTAAATTTTCATAATTTTATATTTTAGAAAAATATGTTAATAAAAGTTTATAACAACCTTAACGTACAACCATACAAAATCAGTATTTTAAATTAACAGATACAACTTCCAGGCATATTCTAAATGAATACAATTTAAACAAAATATTAAATTATTACTTTTAAATAGATATTCTTTTATAATAATAAAATTATGTAATATTTTATAATTTATTTTATTGTGTATTATACATTTTTCAAAATATTATTTTAAATATTTATTATTTTACTGTCAATATATCAATAATTTTTAATAATTTTCAAAATACAAAGTTACCAAAACCTCAAAGTTTAGAATTCGTGTGGCAATAAATGTAAATGCATATTATCATACAGATGGTAAACGGACTAAGTTAAACGAAATTTGACGGAAAAATAGAACATCTTAATTTTGATAAAAATAATATGTGAGTAACTGTTTTTTCTTTTGTATAATACTTCAAATATTATTATATTACTTATATTGTAAATTTATGTTATATAGTAATAATGATTTTTAGGATTACGTACAAATTTTAGAATTATTCAATTTTCATTTCCCAATTTTTTATGAATAATTTCATGTACCAGTAAAGTTACATCATCATATTTGTAAAAATATTTGAATAGATTACTCTATTGTATTCATACTGTCAATAAAAAAACTTTTCTTTCTTTTAATTATATCAATTTAATAAAACTCAATAGCCATAATTAAGGGTATAAATTTCGAGTAATTGAATTAATATATTTATTTAAATAATGTAATATTCATCTCAAAATAAATAGTACTTACAACGAAGAAAGACTTTTCATTTCAGTGAAAACAACATTATTTATTCTTGTAATTGGATTATTTCCTAAAACTCTAAAAAAATCAAAAAAATTTTATTTATTGAATTTAAAAATATTTATGTAATATTACAATTTATCTAATATTTTTAAAGGATGAAAAATTTCCTGCGTGATTGTTGTAATCCGATTATCAGCTATATTTCTGTAAAATCCATTATACAATTGTATAAAAAATAAAAATTATAATATTTATTTATAAATAAAACTGGTATAATTACAAATCCGAAAGACTCAATAAGTTTTTAAATGCATTTTTATGAATCACTGTGATTACGTTATTACTTAAATTCCTGAAAATGATAAAAATACTAACATAAAAACAATTTTTTAATTTATAGTACATAATAGATATGATATTATTTTATTTTTATTCAAATTAAGTATATTGTCTTACAAGACCGTTAGATTTGGCATGTTAGCGAACAGGAACTCATTTATTATTTCGATACGATTCCATTCTAAATGTCTATTACATAATAAAAAGGATAATTATTTATAGTAATTATTATTTTTTATAAGCTATAAATATGTTCATCTATTAGTGATATAATATAATTGTATACAAGAAAATACTTACAGCATTATAAGACTCATTAAGTGTGGAAAACATTCGTTCTTAAAAGTCAAAAAATTATGTGATAAATATCTAAAAAAAAGTATGATGAAAGGAATTTAAAACGAAATAAATATCAAATATTTTGATTCTTACATCCATTTTACATTTTGCATGTGTTTCCAAGAATTTAAATTTAAAAACACCAAGTTATTATTATCCAAAAATAAAGTTCTAATATTTTCCAATCCATAAAGTGCATTTTTTTCCAAAACACGCAACTCATTATGAAGTAAAAAACTGAAAAAAAAATAGAAAAAAACTAATTAACAATAATCATCTACGTATTAACATTTTGTAATAGATAGAGTTATTTATAAATGCGATAAAAAAATTAAATAAGAACTACTTACAGATATTTTAGTTTATTTTGATGTTTAAAAACAAATGGAGGTATCACAGACAATCTATTATATTGTAAGTGGCTAAGAAAAAAATATATTATACAATTATATATATATATATATTTTTTTTTTGTGCATGTGTCAAAACTTACATCATTATCAATGAATAATATTCATCAAATGAATCGTTAGAAAGAACTATATTGTTGCTCCTCATTGATCTAAAATATATCAAGATAATGTTGAATGACTTTTTTTATTGTAATAATATTATAAACGATAAGAATTAGGTATTATTTTAGAAAAAAAATAATTAAACATTAATAATAAATAACATTAAAACTTGTGGGTTAAAAAGAACTAAATAAATACTTAACTAGTTAATTATGTAATAAGATTGTTTTATATTCAAAAACTAATACAATATTAATAACATTTTATTAATTATAAATTATGACAGGTATCAAATTTTCAGTCATAAAAATATTTGAATCCTAGCATAGAGTTGCTGATTTTTCAGTATTTAAGAGTACAATGATTAGGTATTTACCAATTTTATCAGAGCATATTTTAACATAAAAAGTTAGTGAAACAAGTACCACTTAGTTATTAATGTGCCTTATCATAAGTAAAAATTATAAAAAGATACCCGACGAAGGTGGGTGTAAGTTTTACTATAAAATGGAAAGAGCAAAAAAAAAAAAGATCATTAGATACAAACATATAAGTTTTACTATATCAGTTATATCGTTGATATAAACAAATATTGATATCAAAATTTGAAGCACTATCAACCTTATCTTAACCTATATATATTGGCCACTGTCCACTGAATGAATTAGAAAATTATGTAACATAAATAGTAAAAAACATATCATACAATTGCTATAAAATAATTACCAAATTCGTAAGAATCATTCGTGATAAATTTGTATAAATAAATTATTTAGATTATTTAGATTATTTATACTTACATTTTTTTTAGATTAGAAGATATATTTCTAGGCACTTTTGTTAGCCCGATATCATTACATCGTAACCATGTTTCATTGAAACAATCACATTTGGAGGGGTAATTGCTTAAAGCTAAAAGGCAGAACAACAGATAGTTAAAATACGATTATATTATACCATATACAACGATGTATATTTCATAGATGTCACATTTATGAAATACATTTCTAATTTTTTATTGAACAAAATTTGTTAGTTTTATTCAATTTAATTCTAATATTTTATTTAAATTCAATTTTCATTGAGGTACTAAGTATAGTTTACTTCTATGGTCGTGTTAATATTGACGTTGATATTTTATTAATTGGATACTTGTTAATCTCTGAATTTAAACTATTAAAATTATTTTTTAAACCAAGAAAATGTGTCAACTCAATGTCACAATAATGTGCCTAGCTAAAGGATATATTATTATTATAAAATGTTGTATTTACTTACATTCAAAAATAACAAAATGTGTAATACGGCGTAATTATAGGCAATATAGCTACATACTCGTGTTGAATGAACCCCAAAGTATTAAGTTTAATTGACTGTGTTTCGTTTAATAAATTATGCCCGTGTTAAGATAACAAGCAGATCGAAGCATTACATAAAGGAAAAACGATAAATAAAATAAAAATGTCTCCCTTAACTAATTCTTTCATATATATTTTGTATACATTTCTTGCCAGATCGAGATTTATTACGTACTTACGTATTATGTGGTGGAAATTTCATTAAGATGTGAGTAGGTATTAAAATAACAAACATAATATATTATTCAACTATTCAAAAATTTATTTAAATTTGTATAATAAACTATAGAGGATGGTGGCATCTTAAGTAACAACTAGTAAGTATATTACAGTATCAACTGATTTATGTTCAAACAAATGCATAATGGAAATACGTATTGATGTTTTTAAAATGGTCTTAATGCTTAGTTAAAATGCATATTTTAAATGAATATTCTTGAATTTTCGTAAATTCATAAGCCACAACACAATGATATTTAGGCGATTACGCAATGTTTCATAGTATTATAACAAAAAGTTTTATAATGACAGTAATAACAACATATTTTATAATATAATATTCATAAATGTTTATTTGCTAAAATATATAAATAACAATATATATATATATAAATAATATAATTCACTACAATCTATCTATTTTATTTTCAGTTAATTTAAAAGCTAATAACAGTTAAACAGTGATCAATGATCATGTAGAATCAATATCCCATATAAAACTCAAATATAAGATTAAATCTATTGATAATATTATAAATTGAATAAATTATTATTTGAAATAATATTATACACGATGACAAAAATTTATATTTACGTGCAAATATTTTTTAGTCATAGAATACATTTAAAAATACATAACTTTTTTGTGCTATTACAGATATTTTAAACCCTTAATTTTTTTAGCTATTTTCAAACCATAAAATACTAAAAATATAAACACATGTTTTTATACAATTTTTAAAGATTTATTTCTGTACATTTAATTGAAATCATAAGATTGCGAAAATTCAAAATATTTTGTAGTTAAAAATTAATGAAATGTTACATTTTCATGGATAAGGTTTCTAAATGTAATACAAGATTTTTACATTAAATTTTTGTTATAGAAACTAAAGTCTCAAAAATAAAAATGCACAATGTTTTTGTACACATTTTAATTTCAAATTTTGAAGAAATATTAGTTATATGTTATTATTTAATAACTCCAATGACCAATAATATCATTTATAGGGATTTGAAGCTTTTCACCACCATGTTTAATATTAATTAATATACGCTAACAAATTTTTAAAATATTTTGATTTTAAAACATTTATACCATGAATTGATTTTTCAGGCTCATTGTATACAGACTAACAGCAGTTAGGCCTTTTAAAAATTACAATAATTTTTGGTAATAACCATTTGGCTGTTGTATTACTAATTTTATTTTATATTACTAATCATATGTAAAATGTAAACTGAACTATTATATTATTGTATTATAGGTACATTATTTTCTTTTTGTCTACAACTTTGCCAATATTATATTTTGAGTGTCTAATAGTCCACGATCTACTTTTGGAATATTGACTAAAATATAACTACCAACTTCAATTATAACTAATTTCTTATCGTTATTTCTGTATCATGTTTTGTGCCATCAATATTCCAAAATTCGATCATGGACAATTAGACACTCAAAATGTAATATTGGCAAAGTTATAAACAAAAAGAAAATTATGTACCTATATACAATAATATAATAGTTCAGTTTACATTTTACACATGGTTAGTAATATAAAATAAAGCTAGTAATACAATAGTCAAATGGTCATTACTAAAGACCGGATTTTGCATATTATGCATGTTCATATTTTTATAAGCAATTGCATGCAATAAATGGGTTTTCATCAATCATACTTAAATAAATAATATTACAAACTTTTATTTTGCATATTTTTGCATATTTTGGGTTCAAGTGCATATTTTATATAAAAACGCATGTTTTTACATAATACGTATACACTAAGTATAAATTTAATTTAATTTTATAATTGTATGAACAATTATTATATATAAATTTTTCCACAATACAAAAATTGAAAATATTTTGTTTCCGTATTAGTTGGTAGGTAGGGAGGTTGTCGAGTTTTAAATATGCGCCCATAACAAGCGTTGATGTGGAACGAAGTTTTTCTGCGTATAAACATATTCTCACAAATCGCCGTCATAATTTAACCGAGATCAATATGGAATATATTATTGTTACTTATTGTTTTTCTAATATCGAATAAATTAAAATTTTTTTCATTTTTATCATCATTATATAATATAATAATATTGTAGTTTATTTATATTTTCATAATTTATATTTTGATTTTAAACCTTTACAATGAATAAATAGCTGTTTAATCAAAAATTATTTTGCATATTTTGCATTTTATCTTGCATATTTTGACTTTTTATAGTGCATGTTTGCATGCATATTTTACAATTTAAAATGCATATAAATCCGGTCTCTAGTCATTACCATAAAATTATTGTAATTTTTAAAAGGTCTAACTGCTGTTAGTCTGTATGCAATAAGCCTAAAAATCAGCAAGCTGTTTGGAAAAATAATAAGTAGCCCGCAAACGGGCTACCTTATTGTAAAGAGCCTAGTCTTTTCGCAAAAAAACTAATTATTCATATGGCCTACGACATATTATATATAAATACAATTTGTTTCGAGTAAAAATTAATTCAATACGAACATACAAACAACAATATAAATTATATTAAAATAGCCGCCTTAGAAAAATACATTGACAAATCACCTCCGTTTAAAATCGTCTCTCTCAGGCAATGATTTAACTCTAAATTAAAATTGAATTCATCTATAGTCATAAAAAATTATTCTACGATTAAGTGTACTCGAAATAAAGTGTACAGCAAAATAATTTAACCAATTTTTTCTTACAAAAAAAGATAAAAATAAAAATGGGTATGCTATTAGATTAACATTAAGTTTATTTTCCTCGAGGTTTTGATTAATTATTCATTTGAATATTATAAAAATCGTATTAAAACTAATGTCTGTTTATAAAAATGTTTGAATTATGCATATTTAAGTCTATAATATTATTTTAAATTCGTAAGCTTATGAAACAAATCCGTTTTTTTATTAAGTATATATTTGGTATGCAGATTTAAGTTATCAATATTTCTCTGCTTTCAATAAACAATACAAGTATACCACGTAATTGATTAGAAATCAATTATTTTGTATAATTATTATAAATTGTATTTTATTATAAATGTAACGCGTTTGTGTATATAAATTACCCATATTTTGATATTACGTATTTTATAGCTTTCTCTTTATTTATTTATTGATTTTAAACAATGCTTGATGTTCAAACACTTTTCCTTTACATTATTATATAACATACATTTCTTATTAAAATTTAAATCTTACTTTTATGCTTATTTGTAACAAAAATGTTTCATTGGATGAAAATTGAATATTATCATGTGTATAAATATATAATTGTATAAATATGTACTCCACGTATTTTAAAATTATATATATATAACTTAGTAGGTAGTATCTATTATGTATTTATATAAATACATAAAATTATAAAAATATGATAATATCGAATACCAAATGCAAAATTTAAAATAATTTAAGAATCATACATGGAGAGGAATACTCAATATGAATTATAAATTTTAGATTAGCGCTGTTAATTTTTTAACGTATACACTTATACATTTTTAATATACTAAATAGAAATGAATAGCACGTTTTAAATAATCAAAGCCTCATACTATATTTCGATATGTTTATAATGAAATACAATAATTTCATACATTTTGTATAATACATTTAATATATTATGTATGTACATTGTATAATATACAATGTTGTAGTGTAAAACTTAATACTTAACGTAAGAAGATTAATTTAACACTGCATATCATAATTTAATTGTAATTTACTTTTATAAATGTAAATATTTAAATTAAATAATTAAACACGTTTATTTCAAAATATCTGTTTATTACTATATTTTTTATTAATCATCACAGTTCTGGCGTTAATGGTAAATCGAAATTTTACTCTACTGTACTCAAAAACTTTTAACTTAAAAAACAAAAAAATATTTTAAAGAAAAACTCAATCTATTTAATGTCTAGTTTTTAGTAGTTAAATAAAATTAAATTTTTAATAAATTAAAAATATTATGATATTATAATGGGAATAAATGATATTACAATTTAAAATCACTAAAAGTCTATATTTATTAAAATAATCTAGGAAATCTAAATACTATTAAAACCAATAGTATTTCTGAATTTAGTTTTAATTGTATATTTTCTCTACGTAATTCAATATATTTATAGAACCTACAGCTTAACGAATATATTAATTATATCAATATATTATTACGTACTTGAATTTAATTGCAAACTTACCACAAAGTGTATTTGATTCATTACGTTTTGATTTTAATTGTGGAACTGGTTCTGGATTCGGGTTTTTGATATCAATGACTTTGTGATAATGTTGCATACTTCCAGAGAAGTCGGCTATAAAAGTACTAATTTTATGAAATACTTGACATATATTAGAAATTCATGAAAAACCAATAATCAGCTTTACAATTTATATTTGCAAGTTCGCATCATATAGTTTAACTTTCTATGATATATGGAGTGTATATTGTTTATAATTCATTTAGGTTTAAGACTTTAAAACTTTGTTTAACTATATTTTATTTAAAATTTTATACTTAAGTTGCATAATTAAATTAATAAAACACCTAAAGGATAATTATATACAAATGTATCACAATTTATAATCTACCTAACATTACATTAAATATTATGTATATTTTTTGAAAAAAGGTTAATTATAAATGAATAATAACAATAGCCGACGCATGTGTTTTAATGAAATAATGAAATATTTATATTTTTTTATATACTAACTGCATATGAGTTTATCTTCGTCCTCTCCATGTGGGCAATCAGAAAAATTATTACATTTATATTTATTTGCAATACAAATTTCTGAATGGCTGCACAAAAATGAATCTTCATGACAGTGGTTTGAGCCTAAATATGATTAAATTATATTATCCATTTATAAAATTTAACACACTTAAATATTGCAACAAAAAAAAAATAATAAATACTGACCATAATTTAAATACAAAGTAATAAGTGTCAATGAAAAGAAACAGGAGATAATGAAACTACTAATAATAGCCGATCGAGTTGCTAGCATTGTGATTTTTAGATATATGAACGTTTGTGAAATACTACGAGACAGTTACTATAAACTTGGATATTTATTCAAATTTTCCGAATGTTTACAATTTGTGTTTGTTCGTCATTGTCCTTCACTATTCTAATCTGTGATGAACTCAATGATTATAATATTATTCAATGGAAACTAAAATTCAAATTGAATGTAATAGTGGATAGATGGAGTTCGCATTAAAACCCTTTGTACACTTTGCATAATAATTTATTACAATGTATAACTATCGTGTTCAGATTATGAATAAACAAATCTAAATTTATAGTCTATTTACGTTAATGGATTATTAGTACATAACACACTGAACAAGTTTACAATGGAAAATTAAATCAAATATATTATATTGACCAGTTTAAATATACAGAATAGCTCACTAAACATGTTCACCCCACTATTTTTTCATTTTATAATCTATTCTTTTTCTTTTTTAATCTTCAAAAATATGTAAAGTCTATAATTAAAAATATTTGAGATATTTTGTACTACTTACGTAGTGTCTTGTAGTAATATAAATTTCTAAATTTCAAATGAGAATCCCCCCTTTTTTAAAAGAAATTATTTAGTGAACATTTTTTTTTTTTTTTTTTTTTTTTTTTTTTTTTTTTTTTTTTTTTT